TAAACATTTACTGAGCATCTTCGATTGTGCTAGTTCCTGTGCTAGGTGCAGTCTCTGCCTCCCTCACAAAGCTAGTGCAAGGGTCGGCAAACAGCTGTTTTTGTATAGCCTGCAGGCTACAGATAGTTGTTACAGTTTTAAATTGTTGGAAAAATCCAGAGACTATCTCATGACACATTAAAAATACAAGAAATTCAAATTTCAGTGTCCATAAGCAGCCTACTTGTTCCTGCAGGAATTGTCTATGGCTGCTTTCACCTTACAGCCACAAGGGGGAGGAGTTGTGACAGAGACTACATGGCCAAAACTTTGCTGATGCCAAAGACAGTGAAAAAATTCTGTACTAATTGAAGGACTTCTAAACTACACTGAGATTTAGAGCCATCTCAAAAAGTTTCATTGACAGATAAGGATTAGATGAGTTCCCTGAAAATGACTGGGTGTGGGTAATTTCCATGAGTTCTTCAAGGTTCCTGTGCCTCTCCATTCTAACACATTAATTACCATGCTGTGGGAATTGGAGCCCAATCATTCTGGCTGCTTTCCTATTGTTGATTGCAGTTGTTAGTCCCACATAAATCAAAGTTTGATCTTAACTGCAAAGGTGATACTTTGGGAAGGATGTACAGAGGGGAGGCACATCTCCAAGTGGAACCACAAGTTGGCTGCGCACCTCACACACAATGGGAACGACAATTCCTACAGAAACAAGTAGGCTGTTTATGGACACTGAAATTTGAATTTCTTGTATTTTTAATGTGTCATGAGATATTCTCTGGATTTTTCCAACAAATTAAAACTAAAAACTATCTATCTGTAGCCTGCAGGCTATACAAAAACAGCCATTTGCTGACCCTTGCACTAGCTTTGTGAGGGAGACAGAGCCTACACCTAGCACAGGACCTAGCACAATCAAAGATGCTCAGTAAATGTACATTAAATGAATTTAGTGGACAGTCTACATTGGGGAGGTATTCTTTTATTTATGTTAATAAAATTTAAATGTGCTTATATTTCATGTAGGGGGAAAGAAATATATTTTCTTCCCATCTTAGGTTCATGGCTAAGGCCCCTATAACAAAAAGAAGATTCACAAGAGAAAAGCATACAAATTTATTTAAAAGTTTAAGGTGACATAGAAGTCTTTGAAAGTAATGAAGACCCAAAGAAACAGGGAAACTTGTGCATTTTTATGCCTAGGTTTGATGAGTGCACAACTTACGGAAAGGTGAGTAGACAAAGGTCTGATCTAATGGTAATAACTGGGAGAACCTGGTAAAGCCTGTTTGTTCAGACTCTTCTCTGTGGCCCTGTGTTTTCGGAGATAAGGATGTTTCTTTCCTCCAGGTATGGGGAAGGCATCTCTCAATGAGGGTCTTATGACCTGCTTCAGGGGAGAAGGGTGGAAGAAGGTCAGAGAGTGATCTTTCTGCTTCTACTGTGTTCTCAAGTGCCCAGGTGCCACATTTTGGGGTAGCAGTCCTGAACCCTGTCACTGCACATACTATTTTTTATTCTATATATTTAAGATGTACATGATGTTGATATGTATATGCACAGTAAACTAATTACAGTCAAGCAAATTATTCTATCCACCTTCTATGGTTACTAAAATTTGGGGGAGTTTTTTGAGGAAAGTCTCAAATCTCCTTTTAGCAAATTTTCAGCATATAATACAATGTTGTAACTATAATCCGTATGCTGTACATTGGATCTCTAGATTTATGCATCTAACATAATTGCAAATTTGACCTAATTCTCTGCACATACTATTTTTAACCAAACTGCTTTTCAGAAATTTGCATGATGAATATTTTCCTACATTTTTACGTGTTCATTATTCACATCCATATGTATTCTTTTAAATACTGCTTTCCATAATGCTTTTTGTTCTTTTTTTAAGACTCAGAACCTCTGCATTTTTTTTTCAGTTTTCCATATGTAGATGCACTATAAATCTATAGTTGGCCATTTATGTTACTTTCTACTTCCTTCACTATTGTAAACAATATTGTCTTTGTTATTTGATTATTTTTAAGATAAATTTCTAAGGTGAAATTGCCAGGTAATTATAAGGCTTTTTGATAGAAACTGTCCTCTTAAAAGATCGTACTCATTTACAATCCACCAGATGGATATGTAAGCAGTGCTTGTTTCTCCACAGACTTTTCAGCATGAACTGTTACCATTTTTAAGAACATCTCTGGGAGGGTCGGGGAAGGAAGATCATCAGGAAAAATAGTTAATGCATGTGGGGCTTAATAACTCGGTGATGGGTTGATAGGTGCCACAAACCACCATGGCACATGTTTTATTTATTTTTGTGACAGTCTTACTCTGTTGCTCAAGCTGGAGTGCAGGGGCACAATCTCAGCTCACTGCAACCTCCTCCTCCCGAGTTCAAGAGATTCTCCTGCCTCAGCCTCTTGAGTAGCTGGGACTACATGTAGGTGTGCACCACCTGTAGGTGTGTACCACCATGTCAGGCTAATGCTTGTATTTTTAGTAGAGACAGGGTTTTGCCATGTTGGCCAGGCTGGTCTCAAACTGCTGACCTCAGGTGATCCGCCTGCCTCAGCCTCCCAAAGTGCTGGGATTACAGGTGTGAGCCACTGTTCCCAGCCCCTAACAGTCCTTTATTAAATTCATTTAACTAGCTAGCTTGAGGGTGCCATCTGCTTTCTCTGGGATCTTATTTGACAGTGCCTACAAGGCCATTCATGGTCTCTCCTTATTTCTCCAATTTCCTCTACTTTTAGTCTTTGAGGTTGATTTGTTTGCCTAAAGTCCCTGGCTCTAATTCCAGCTACTCAAGAGGCTGAGGCTTGAGGATCACTCAAGGCTAGGAGTTTGAGACCAGCCTGGGAAATACAACAGGACTTCATTTTTTTATTGTATTTTTTTAGAATTTAAAATTAAGTTTCTTTGGGAGACAGGGTCTCGCTATGTTGTCTAGGGGCTGGTCTTGAACTACTGGCCTCAAGCCATCCTCCTGCACTTCAGTCTTGCCAGGTGCTGGGATTACAGGCATGAGCCACCGTGCCTGGCTGTGAGACCCCATTTCTAAAAATAAAAATAAAAAAATAGGCAGGTGTGGTGGTACATGCCCATGGTCCCAACTCAGAGGCTGAGACAGAGGATCACTGAAGCCCAGAAGATTGGCGCTGTGGTGAGATTTGATCTGCACTCCAGCCTGGGCAACAGAGTGAGACCCAATCTCTAGAAAAATAATAGAGTAAAATAAAAATAAATAAACTCCCTTAGAACGCACCAAGCCTTTGCTGCTTCAGGACCTTTGCCCAACGATCCTCTGCCTGAAACATTCTTCCTCCTATTGTCTTATGTTTCATGTCTCAGGTTAAATGTCCATTTCTCCCAGAGGCCTTCACAGACCTCCATCCAAAATTAGGTAACTCCAGTGATTCTCTCTCATACATCTTGCTCTTTTCTTTCATAGTACACATTTCAGCTTGTAGCTGTATACTTATATGTGTTCATTTGTTCAGTGTCTGTCTTTCTCATTGGTCTGCAATCTCCATGAGTGTAGGGCCCATTGAGCTTTGTTTAGTTATAAGCCTTAGCAGTTATTACACAGCCTGGCACATAGTGGGCACTCACTAAATCCATAACAAATGGATGAGTTCTAGTGCTGTCGCCTCACTATCCTTTAATAGTCATAAATTTGGACTCCAGGGAAGTTCTCGCTCAAAGATGTTGGCAAGTCATTCTAGCTCCTGCAAACAATAACTTTTATAATAGGATGGTGGGGAAACCACTAACCAGTCCAACATAGCACAAGAATAAAACTGATCCCACCAATCCTCTCAGATACAACTATTAATATTCTCTATTGCCTATTTCACACCCCTCCTTGTAAGAATGAAACAGGAGGAAATGCACTGGGCTCTCAGAGCTGCAAGACTCAACAAGCTGCCAAGTTAGGTTAGACACCCAGGTGGCAGAAGGGGTAAAGCAGCTTGTCTATGTAACCTTGGCCAGAGGACTGCTCAGATGCCACTGGCGTGCATAGATAGACGAGTGGCTTCCCAGAGGAATGCCAACAGCTGACACCCACACTGTGGTCTCCCACATGTGGATACATCAGTGTTTACTTAACCATTCCCTTATTTCAACACATGTTGAATGAAAGTTCACTATGTGTCTATTACTGTGTGCCACAAAGGTAACAAAGTCACTGCCCCTGCTGTCAAGACATTTAAAAGGAGGTGCTTGAGACACAGTTATGAAAACAAACTATTATGGAGGATAAAAATAGTCTACACACAGGAGGAGAGAGAACAAAGGATAAAGGGTACCTAATCCTGTGGAAGTTTCACTGAGAAGGCAGCACGGAACTAACTTGATGCATAAGGTCCAGAAAGATCCGGACCAACAAGGCAGGGAGTGCACTGCAGGTGAAAGAAGCATGTACATGGGTATTGGAGCGGGATTTGGATTAAGTTCCTGGAAACTGGAGCGCAAGTGGGAAGTGGTGGAAGTACAACACGGACAGAAAAACCAACCTGAGTTATATCACATAGGACCTTGTAAAGGAGCTTAGCAAATAACCTACTGGCAACGGTCAGCCACGGAAGCATTTACAGGCCCAAGTGCAGCATTAGGTTTGCCTTAATGCATTGTGTTGGCAGTGAGAAGACAGAGTGGAGTAAGACCAGACAGAGGTAAGGAACCCTCTCCCCATCTCCTCACTTCCTCCCACTGGCGGAAAAGAGGCTACGCAGTGGTTGAGGAAAAGATAAGTACCAGAACCAGGGCAGAGGGAGCGCAAACGTGTGCTCTAGTACAGATACGCAGGTGCTACAACGTATACCAGGATCTTGGAGTGGAGGTTAAGTGTGAGGGATGACAGCAGATAGGGCTTGGACAACTGGCCAGTTTTACCAAGCAGGAACAGAGATGGTAGTAGAAGGGTCCAAAAGGAAAAAATGAATGCGCTTTTCATAAGGGGATTGTGAGGAGTCCGCAGGACATGCAGGTGAAAGTGTCCCCTAGGGAGCTGACTGATAGGGGTCTGGGGGTTTTGAGTTGAATCCAGGTTAGAGACACGGATTTGTGGCGTCATTAGCGTGGATGAGACTGCGCAGAGTTGAACGGGAAAATGGCAAACCAAAGAACAAATGTAACAGTGCGATACCAGTGTCGGCTTTACGGTTCTTCTCCCTCCTCAGCTTGGACTGCGGAACATCTTTCATTTCACAAGAGGCTCAGGAACTAACAGTGTGCAAACGAGGCTGCGTTCAAGCTGCTGGAGGGCCAGTTCCACCTAAACGCAGTCAAGGACTCCTGGCTTTCCGGCTTCACGTCACTGGAACCTCGGCACTCCCACGGTTATGAATCTGGGGCCACCTTCCCGACCTCCCCCGCGGGCTCAACGTCACGACCGCGCTCCCGCTGATGCTCCGACTACACCCCGCGGGAGGCGCTGCATTTGACGTCATCATCTCGCGCCATCCCGCCCCTTAGGTGTTCAAGCTCCGCGCGCAGGCCGCACTGCAACCTGGCTGGCAGATCTCGTGCTGTCCTAGTCGCTGCTTGCTCGGAGCATGTTTCCAGCCGCCTCCTCTCCGCGGACCCCGGGTCCCGGGTCCCGAAGGGGCCCACTGGTCGGACTCGGGCCCGGCTCCACGCCTAGGACGGCCAGCAGAAAGGGTCTGCCCTTGGGGTCCGCAGTCAGCTCCCCAGTGCTCTTCTCGCCGGTCGGCCGGCGTAGCTCTCTGAGCTCGCGGTAAGTGATCACCGTGGTTGGGTCTAGCGACCAACAGGCTCACAGGCCTCAGTGAGCCGGATGGATTAGTGTCTTCAGAAGCCTTCTGAACCGGGGCCGGCGGAGGAGAATGCCAGAATATTGGAAAATAGACCTTTTCCACTCTTGCAGGTCATATCCACTTCACTTTATCAGTCTAGTCCCCACTTTCCATTTTTCATGGATACCTTTGTGCAGAAGTGAAGTACAAACTGGATTCGAATCTGTGGTTACCCACTTCCCACCTATTACCTCTGTGATCTGGTGTAAATGACTCGTGATTTTCTTCATATGTAGAATGGCGATAGTATCTCACCTGAGCCAGAGGAGTTAGTTTGACTTGCCACGATGCAGATGTAAGGTGATGGTGATAATGAGGATCGCCAGCCTTGAACAATCATTGTTTAATGCTTAACATACTAACTGACATTAATATCTGATGATTGATAATTAAAGGTTTTCTAGCTACAGAATTTAACTTTCTAGGTAAATTATAGGGAAAAGGCTTTACATAAGTGACATAAGAGCACTATGATAGTTTTGTTACTAAAATTGCTGTTTTGGAGCACACCAGTAAAATCATCACACAGCGCGCGCGTGCACACACACACACACACACACACAGACACACCATGTTCATAATTAACCTAAAACTTAAAGAGATAACGTGTTTCTGCATAGTTTTCTTTGAATTCACCTATAAAAAATGAATTTTCCCCTGCAGGGAAACACAGAGTATTGTGTCTTGAAATTATGTTTAAAATTTATCTGTAAAATTTTGCAGTACTTTAAAGAAGTGATTTTGAAAGAATACACTGTGTCTTTGACTTTTTTTGGCATATTTCGAAAAGTACTTTTCAAAGTGCTGATCTTGTCAGTGTTTTATTTTCCTTTTGAGAAAAGTTGGAGAATAAAAGCATTTACTGTGTGTGGTGTTTTTTTTAAATCTCTTCTTTCTGGTGATCATTTGAAGAGAAACCTTTGTTATCTCTCAGGAAACAAAGCCCTCAGCCATTCTCTATGTACATCTCCTCATTTAATTCTCATGGTGAAAGATATAATAACTTTTATTCTGGTGATTTTACAATATTATTCTAAATGTTAAGAAGAAAGTGAGGAGGAAGTAAAGTTTTTATTGTGATATCTGCTGTTGAAGGCCATGTAACAGCTGATGCTCGTAACCTGTTTGATTTCTTGCTTGGTTGTACAGATCTGAGAGGTGCCTTTTGTTTTGTTTTAAGAGACAGGGTCTTGCTCTGTGTCACCCAGGCTACAGGCTGGTGCCACAATGACCGGCTAATTTAAACAATTTTTTGTGGCCAGGCGTGGTGGCTCACACCTTTAATCCCAGCACTTTGGGAGGCCGAGATGAGCAGATCTCTTGTCAGCAGTTCAAGAGCAGCCTGACCAACATGAAGAAACCCCATCTCTACTAAAAATACAAAACTAGCTGGGTGTGGTCTTGCATGCCTGTAATCCCAGCTACTTGGGAGGCTGAGGGAGGAGAATTGCATGAACCCAGGAGGCAGAGGTTGCAGTAAGCCAAGATTGCGCCATTGCACTCCAGCCTGGGCAACAAGAGCAAAACTCCATCTCAAAAAAAGAAAAGAATTTTTGTAGAGACAAGGTCTTGCCATGTTGCCCAGCCTGGTCTTGAACTCCTGGTCTCAAGCAGTCTTCCTGATACAGCCTCCCAGAGTACTAGAATTATAGGCAAGAGCCACTGCCCTGGCCAGATATGATAGATTCTTAAAAATGAATAAATGAATAACCCTAAAGCCAAATGAGAGCTTGAATCTCATCTAAGCCAATATTTGTAAAATATATTTGACCACTACTGCTGCATCATGTGATAAAAGTTATATATATATATATATATATATATATATATTTTTTTTTTTTAACCATAACATATGGTAAAAGCTGATGTTCTATATTCTGGCTTTCAAAAATGTTGATTGAGATCTGCAAAATGACCTGCTGTTTGAAAAAAACACTTTATTATTTCACAGCTAAGGAGGCAGAATTATAAGGAGTTTAAGTGAATAGAGGCATGCATTTCATTACTAGAGCATATGGGATTGAAGCCAAGTTTTCCTAAATCCTATCTTGTGTTTTTTTTACATGAAAAATATTAGGTTTAATTACATGGTAAATACAAGCCAGTGTTAATTTCTTTCAAAGAACTTCTTATTGTGAAAATATATACATAAAAAATTAGAATAATGGAAAATTTTAAGTTATAAGTAAGGTACCATAAACTCTTTCTTTAGAGGAACACCAACACGAATGTTCCCACACCACTCCATAACTGACGCTGTGAACTATGATGTGAAAACGTTTGGATCTTCTCTTCCTGTTAAAGTCATGGAAGCCCTAACATTGGCTGAAGGTACGTGTCATCTTTCCATTACCTGTATTAGCAATTAAAAATGGAGTCTAGATGTGGCATGGAGTTAAATTTATGTTTTCTCTAGCTTACCTTTACCTGAATGGAGAAAGATGGGTAGCTTGTCTAGTTTTTGGTTTTTTTTTGAGACAGTCTCACTGTGTCACCCAGGCTGGAGTGCAGTGGCATGATCTTAGCTCACTGCAACCTCTGCCTCCTGGGTTCAAGGGAGTTTCCTGCCTCAGCCTCCCAAGTAGCTGGAATTACAGGAATGAGCTACCATGCCCAGCTAATTTTTTATATTTTTAGTAGACATGGTTTCACCATGTTTGCCAGGCTGGTCTTGAACTCCTGACCTCAGGTGATCTGCCCACCTTGGCCTCCCAAAATGCTGGGATTACCAGCATGAGCCACTGCGCCCAGCCAACTTTTTTTTTTTTTACTGTCATTGAGATATATAATAAATTCGAGAAGGAGATTGAGTTCATTTGAACACAAATTCTTTAATTTTAGGTTTTAGATACTGTACAGTAGTCCCCCATTATCTTTGGGGGATATCTTCCGAGATCCCCAGTGGATGCCTGAAACCTTGGATAGTACCAAACCCTATATATACTATGTTTTTAAAATACGTACACACCTATGATAAAGTTTAGCTTATAAATTAGGCACAGTAAGAGATGAACGACATAACTAATAATAAAATAGAACAATTATAACAATATACCAGCAGCACTACTATTGTACTTTGGGGCCATTAAGTAAGAATACAAACATTGCATTACTGCAATAGTTGATCTGATAACCGAGACAGCTTCTAAGTGACAAACAGCTGGATAGTCTCGGGGCGTCCAATCTTTTGGCTTCCCTGGGCCATTTCAGAAGAAGAATTGTCTGGAGCCACATGTAAAATACACTAGCAATAGCTGATGAGCTTTAAAAAAAAAAAAAAAAGGTCTGTGCCTTAATCTCATAATGTTTTAAGAAAGTTTACAAACTTGTGTTGGGCTGCATGTGTCCCTGGGCCGTAGGCTGGTCAAGCTTGGTGTATACAGTATGGATATGGTGCACAAAGGGTTGATTCAAAACCTGTAGACAGGACAGTAGGAGATTTTATGACATGACTCAGAACAGCATGCAATTTACAACTTAGGAATTGTTCATTTGAATTTGCCACTTAGTATTTTCTGACTCTGATTGACCACAGGTATTTGAAACTGCAGATAAAAGGGGGAAATATTGTATATGCAAAATTCAGTTCCATTTGAAGAGTTACCAGGTTTATGAAGTTTAGTGTTAAAAAAAAAACCTTGCACCTCACATTATTGGGTTTAATAATACAGTGCAATCAAATCCTACTTCCATCTTTGGATCCTATGTAGCATCCCAGAGGCTGTGTGCACAAATTTGTGATGTTACCATTGTAGTGGGTACCTTTAGAAGTCTGTTGGCAGAGAGTTAGTGTGGAATTTTGAAAAATAAAATCAACACAAGCTTAGAAAGGCAACTTTACTCTTGAAGAGCAAAGTTCAAAGCACCCTTAGTATCTGCTGAAATAATTTTTATTAAGAAGTGAATTCTAGGCTGGACACAGTGGCTCACCCTGTAATCCCAGCACTTTGGAAGGCTGAGGCAGTCGGATTGCAAGGTCAGGAGTTTGAGACCAAACTGACCAACGTGGGGAAACCCTGTCTCTACTAAAAATACAAGAATTAGTCGGGCATGATGGTGCTTGCCTGTAATCCTGGCTACTCGGGAGGCTGAGGCAGGAGGATTGCTTGAACTCGGGAGGCGGAGGTTGCAGTGAGCCGAAGTCATGCCACTGCACTCCAGCCTGGACAACAGAGCAAGACTCCATCTCAAAAAAAAAAAAAAAAAAAATTCTACATCTTTATGATTTTTCTGGAACAGTGTTTTTCAAATTATAAGTGTGACCAAAATTTAGCGGTTCATGACCAGCATTAAAAAAAAGAAGAAACAGAATAGAATGCATCTCATATAATGTTTAGTAAATTTTGTTTCATTTACTTAAATTGTATATGGCAATATCATGATGTAAAATGTATTATACTGTGAATAACTCTATATTTACTGTATATATTACTGTGAATAACAGTAGAAAAAAAAAAAAACAAGCTTAAAGTAGTCGGTCTTAGAAGAAGGAATATATCTCATCCACTGGAACTTGCACATCTTGCCTGTAAGTCCTTGGGGGCTTTAGGGATAATTGCTTTCAGACAACTAAACTGCTAACCTCTATATACATTGTTCTGTTTTAAATAAATAAATATATATACATGTTATATGTATATATGTGTATGTATATGTATTTCTCTCTAAAATTTCTGTTTAAATTAGATTAAAGGCTTTTAACGTACTCCTGGTATTTTAACAGACTAGATTAAATAACACAGCCCCAAATCTAGAAATTTAGAGAGTCCCTAAAAGTCAGCATGTGTAAAACAAAGAGGTGTGTCACCCTGAACTCTTCCCCACTTAGAAACCTGCCAACTACTGTTAGGTCAGTTGTTCAGGGCACACCAGTCGAGGATCTGGAGTTGTAGTGTGTTCAAGAAAAAGAAAATTACTGAGCAGATATTTCACTTGAGCAAAAAGCCCTCACTTAGCCTGGGCTTGGTTTGATATTTTTGCTTATACATTATCTATGTCTTTTACTTTGCCCTTCTACCTTTCTTTCAGTAAAGAGCAAAGCTCAAATTAATAAAATTTCCAGGGCTATTAACACGTTTGTGGAGGTTTACCACCAATACTTAAGACATAGGCTAATTTAGTTTTGTCACTTAATAGAGAATGTAACTCTTTGTCTCCGTATAATGAAATAATTTATCATTCCTTTAAGGAGCTCTTATTTGAAAATTATATGCTTTTGAAGGAAGGTTATTTTCCTTGAAATGTTTTATATGGTTAATGAGTTTATTATTTGTGTTATTTTATTGATAAAATTATAAATGTTGCTAAATATTTCCTTTTTGTTATTTCTGTTTATTTTTTGATATGGAGTCTCACTCTCTTGCCCAGGTGGGAGTGATGTGATCACGGTTTACTGCAGCTTCAATCTCCTGGGCTCAAGTGCTCCTCCTGCCTCAGTCACCCTAGTAGCTGGGAAGTGCACTGCCAAATCTGGCTATTTTTTAAATTTATTTTTATTTTTTAGAGATGGGGGTCTCACTGTGTTGCCCAGGCTCACCTCAAGTAATCCTCCCACCTTGTCCTTCTGAAGTGTTGGGATTTATAAGCATGAGCCACCATGCCTGGCCTAAATATGTTTTACAGGAAATAAGCTATTTGATCTGTTTGTAACAAAAATTAAGGAATATTAAATGTCTCAAATATACTTTTTGCCTTTGGATATATTTCTTTTTGTTTGTTTGTTTTTACCTTTGGATATATTTCTAAAGGTGGTTATCAGAGTTAAATAGATCTCTTGTTTTGAGGGTTGATAATTTTGGAATATTCAAAAGTATTTGTTATGAATTAGTCCTTTCTGAGTCTGATAATTACTTTTTTTGATAAAGTGTGTGGTAATAAAGATTTATATTTATACTATAATCACTCACCTCATTTTTTCCTTTAGTCGATGATCAGATGACTGTTTACATAGATGAAGGTGGATGGGCTTGTCTGGTGTGCAAAGAGAAGCTCATTGTTTGGAAGATTGCTCTGTCACCTATTACTAAGGTAATGGCTCTTTAGAGATCTGTAAGGAGGTAGAGGAGAGGAATACCAATTGACTTTTAATTTTTACCCTAATTTTTACAGTTGATAGAGGATAGTAAATATGAAACTACTTAGGTATTAAGGGTTTGCATTTTCATAGTGATGTGATATAATAAGCATGTGTATACATTTGTGTATTGGGAAAAAGGTTTCCCTGTATTAATAATTTTTAAATAAGATTTGTGTTTGCATTTAACAAAATTAGAGTCATTAAAATTTTCAATGAATATAATGCTAATCAGTCTGCCTAATGAAGTATCGGACTAAATGCGACCCACATAAGCAAATGAACTTTGAGTTTGCGTATTTCTGAGACAATAGAACTATGTTTTGTTGAATCTACTGAATGATGCTTAAGAAAATTTAAAAAAAAATGACACCAATTGCTAGTTAAGCCTATCCACTTCCAACAGTGGGTTATCATTTGCATGCCTGGTAACTTATCCTCAGCAACCTTTTTTCTGTTTTTTACAGCTTAGATATACTACTCTCTTCCACCACTCATTGCTCACTTGGCCATGTTCCATTTTAACTCAGGGCACCTGCTTACCTAAACTCTTCAATTCTGCTGAACTTTGGGTTACTGCTGCCTAGAAAATGGTATTTGTTACCGTTTGACCCAGCAATCCCATTACTGGGTATATACTCAAAGGATTATAAATAATTCTGTTACAAAGACACATGCACACATATGTTTATTGTGGCACTGTGCACAATAACAAAGACTTGGAACCAACCTGAATGTCCATCAATGATATACTGGATAAAGAAAATGTGGCACATATACACCATGGAATACTATGCAGCCATAAAAAAGGATGAGATCATGTCCTTTGTAGGGACATGGATAAAGCTGGAAACCACCATTCTCAGCAAACTGACACAAGAACAGAAAACCAAACACCACATGTTCTCACTCATAAGTGGGTGTTGAACAATGAGAACACATCACATTGGGGGAAACATCACACACTGGGACCTGTCGAGGGGTGGGGGGATAGGGGAGGGATAGCATTAGTAGAGATACCTAATGTAGATGACGAGGTAATGGATGCAGCAAACCACCATGGCACATGTATTCCTTTTTTTTTTCTGCCGCCACCACCGCTTCCAGCACATGTATACCTATGTAATAAACCTGCACATTCTGCACTTGTACCCCAGAACTTAAATTATAATAATCAGAATAATAACAAAAA